ATGTAAATAAACTAGATAATTAAGAATAATAATAATAATAATAATAATCAGACACCAATTAATATAAAAAAAATAGAATTACATGATATAATTAGAAGATATGATTAAATTGAAAAACTGCATTTCTTTTTCAATGAAAGTTGATATTAAAGTTGACATTAAATTTTTGGTTTAGACCATATTTTAAAACTTGTGAAAAATAATATATTTTTCGATTATCTACGAATGAAGAATTTTTAAAAATAACATAGGAATACATAGAAAACATCAGAAGAAGTTATATTATGACTATAGATTATAAAATAAATACTGTTGCATTTTGGAAAAGTGAATTCGTTCTCTGGAATCTATGAAACATGGTTTTTGAATGATTACGATAATTATTTAAATGAGACTTGCATGGTTTATATAGCATTCTTGATTTCTAAATAATGAAATAATTCTACAAATAAATTAAATTAATAGTACAAACTGTCAAATTCAATTCCAACTTTTTATTTTATTTTTTTTTTCTTATTTAGGTATGAATATGTTTTATTAATATATTTTACAAATACAAATTATTTTTTTATCATAAAAATAATAAATTTTTATAGATACGAATTGTGTATAAACAGAGAAAAATGTCATAAAACAGTATTTAAGACTTCATTTAATTGTGACTTTTTATAAACAAGAGCTAATTACATATTTATTATTAAATGCTTCTAATTTATTTTTTTGTAAAGTTTATTTTAGAATTAAATATAATTAGAAATTAGATACGAACATTTTAATCATAATAAATTTACAATACAAAATAAAAACTAATACAAACACATTTGATCGTTTAGAATCAATAAGATAATTTCCATAATCTGTAATAATTTTTTATTAATTTCATTTGAATTTATTAATTATATTATCAATAAAATCTATTTTGTACTTTATCAATGATTCGTAATTAAAATTAAAATCGTAATTAAATTACAGTTTTAATCTAATTAAAATTAAAATCGTAATTAAAATTGTAGTTTTAATCTAGGATAGAATATATATTTTGATAATTTTTATAAATAAAGGAATAATATAAAATAAATAATGAAAATGTTTCAGAATAGAATTCGATAATTCATAACTTTAACATAAAAGAATTTCAAAAGATTACGAATCGAAAATTTAGAAATAGTAACATATATACATACTATTACTAAACTACAAAACAAATAATAAAAATATAAAAATATAACAGAATAGAGAAGCAATAAAATTTAATGGATAAGTAATCAAAACTTAGACGTTAAATAATTGTATATCAATTTATTAATATAAGTCTTTAAATATTTTTTACAATCAAAGTAAAAACTAGATATAAATAATTTTTTTTTCCTTTTGATATGAATTCTTTTTCGTTTGGACGTTTAGAGAAAGTCTACAGCTTTCATCGTTTTATATTTCGAAAAACACTGTACTAACTTACTTGCTTTCAAATGTACATTGGTTTCAGCTATAATGATAAATATATGTCAATGTAATAAATAATAATAAATAATTTATTTAAAATTTTGTGTAATAATTAAAATATATGATATATAAAGACTATATAAAGAAAATATATAATATATAAATTATAATTTTTTCGTTAATAATTTTTTACTTACAGATGGCTGAACATTCGGAGACTAATTGTTTAACAGCATTCTCGTCTATAAGTAATTCCATGACTTGTACGATTCCTTGCGGCTTAAACACTCCGTTTTTGTCAAGCTGTGCAAAAATTATGACAATAATTTTATTTATTTTGTTTAATTATATATTATTTATATAATTCTATTTAAACAATTTTATTATTTATACTAACAACGTTAAACTTTTTAATATACATTCACTGTACAATTGAACTTTCTTATCTTCCACATCGACATTGCCTTGAACAATGTCATTTGCTTTTTCTGAAATTCGAATAAAAAAATTAATCAGAAATTTTATTATTTTTAAACTTTTTGTTATTTACTTTTTTGTAACTTACGTTGGTCAATACCAGTTTCTGTGCTGCAAGCTGATTGCTCAGCATGTAATCTAGTTTTTAATTCTTCAATCGTCTAAAAAAAAAAACAATTAAACATTAAAATATGAAAATAAATTTATATATTATATAGTTAAATAAAATATTTTAAAAAATGATTATTTATTTATTCCATATATTTGAGGTATTCATATAATTATTTTTAAAATATTTTATATTTACATATTTTCTTTTCAAAATCTTTTATTAATCTTAAATATTAATAAAGTTTTTGATACTAATATTTTTATTTATAGTATCATAACGTAATCATATAATGTAATGAGCTCGAAAATTATTCAGATTAAAAATAATAATGTTTCCCTATCTCTACTACATTTAATTATTCAGAAATAGATATCTCTCAGAAATTTCAAAACTATATCTAATCGAAATAATTAAAAATTATTATATTTCATTATACATTTTTATTCTCGATTTTCACAAAATAAAATAGAAAGCAAACAATAGAATCATAAAATTGATAAAGATTGTAAAATTAATATATTTATGAATAAACCAACAAATATAAATAGATGAAAAACAAATTCAATACAAAAATTTTATCATTAAATAAGTAAATAATAAAAAATGATCATTTTCTTTAAACATAAAATATTTCATAAATTGTAGAAATGATTTATTTTTTATTAATTATTTATAGTAAAAAAAAATATTTTTTTTGTGTGATTTTTATATACATAATATTGAATATATTTGAAATCAATGTTTTATCGAAAATATATTTATTTTTTTGTCATTTTAAGTTGAAATTAGAAGATAATTAAAATTTCTAATTGTTAATTAATTATTTATTATTTTGCAAATAGTAATATTATATAAGAGGTAACGAAAAACCAATATTATTAAATAAAAATTTAATATAGCAAATTTATATTAAAAAAATAATAAATAATAATCTATCGTAAGGACATAAGTTACGACAATTGCAAATATTTTTAAAGATATATTAAGGGATAAAATTTAAAATTTAAATAAAGTTATGTTAAGTATCATTAATTTTTACAATAAATATGAATAAAGTTAAAAATATTTAAATATTTACCAGAGCACCAACGCAAACGCAAAAGCCAAAAATAAACAGGATAATTTTCATTTTTGATATATCGATTTCAGAAACAAGAATTCAACTGATCTCAAAGTGTATCTAACCAGAACTGAATACATATCGAAACGCACGAAGTATTTTTATAGTTGTAGTATAATTATTATCTATAGTACTTCCATATTAGAATTTCTCCTATCATTAATAGCAATAAATGATTCTGCGTGATTCTTTTTTTTTTTTTTTAAGTAAAAATCACTTCTTCAGTCAGATTATGCATCGTTTATATAATATATCTGAACAATAATGTTTAATGACTAAGAACAAAAATTATTCAAAATCTTGTCCTTTATAATACATTTAAAATTTATTAAAATTTATGTGTATGTCACATAATATTGGTTTTCAGAAATTCTCTTTATCCCTCTTTCGTAAGATTTTTTTTTACGATCCACTTTTGCGTTTGATCATTGTTTCATATAGCAATTCGTGATTCACATGCAATTATTTCGTAGCATTATTTTTGACAAAAAGGTCTTCTACTCGCAATGTTTTTTAAACAATTTTGAAACATTCGAGATATATAGTACATATTTGAGTATGATAATATATTAAGCAATTTTTCTCTTCAAATTCTAAGAGGATAAAATTAATTCGTGAAAATTAATTATTTTTCGACTTTATTTTATATATAATTCGCCAGTTGTAAAAGATAGAGAAAAAGTTTTCAAAGTTGTTTCTTTTAATGTGAATTATTATCATTTGATAAAAAATTTAATAATAAAAGTTATAATTTTTTTATTACAAATACCAATTTGTTATATTTTGTTCCGCAATAATTGTTAATTAATTATTTTTCGCAAGAATTTCTAGATCTTATTGCACGTATGATATTGCGTATATTGCATAACGAGCTATCTTTTTTGAACATTTATTTGATAAGATAATTTATAATATTGAAATAAGAAATAAAGAAAAAGAAAAGAATGTTTTGATATATTAAAACTTTCTATTTTTAATGTGATTATCGAATTTTATTTTTTCGATGAAATGAATAAGATTGTGAATGAAGAATATAATATGTATAATTCAAATATATATAAAATGATATAATAATAACAATTAGATGATATAATAATAACAGTTAGATAATTGTAAAAACATACGGTATATGTTTATTCTTCATATTAATGAAATTTTTTGAAAGAAAAATGTTTAAAATATTTTTAAGAAATTTTGGTACACCATTTTGATACATGTTATATAATAGCATGATTATCGCACATTATGGAACAACGAGGCAAATATACGAGATCTTGTTGCGAAAAAGAAAATCTATTGAACTTTGAAAATTATTTGATTGATTTCTCATCGATATATCCATTATCTCAATATATATTTTTTTTGACATATATTATAACAAAAATTTTTTTCAAAGGAAAATGTTGCTTGAAATTTCACTCAACGGATGTTCCAACATTTTTGGAACATTCTATATATGGAAATCTCCTGTGCAGCATACATATATACAATAGAAAGAAGTTCTTTCATATTATTGCAGAATAAAATAAAGCAATACAACAAAGCTTGTATTTAAAAATTTGTAAAAAAAAAAAATAGTTTCATCATGCTCCATAATCATTAAAATTATTAAGATTTCATACGAAAAAATGAATTGAAAAAAAATTATAAATTAACTGTTTTAATTACATGAACAATTGATAAATCTTATATTAAACGATAATTTTTATTTAAAAAAAACAAGTTTTTTTTTTAAATTTGTTTCGAAGAGAAGATATAAATATAATTTTCTAATCAAACCAGAATAATAGACTAAACTGATTTGTTGATTCTTATAATAGTATAGGAATAAAAATATATTTTAATATTTTGGTTTAGAAATATATATGTATATGTTTAATTTTGTTTTTTTCTTTAAATTAATTTTATTTTAAGTAAAAAAAAAAAATTAAAATCTATTGAATTTCATTGTAGAATGTTTTAATAATAAAAAAACTTGAATACTGATAATATTTCATTATATATGATTCATAAATCATGTTTTGAAAGTATTGTAATGATGCCTTTGTTGACCTTATAACCTGAAGAGATTAAAATGTTTTGGATTCAGAGAATATGTTATTGCCATTAAGAATATGTTATTAGTTATTGCCATTTTTAATTTTATAAAATGGACCAAATATTTATATTACTCATTTGTATTTTATCATTGCATCCTAGAGATGTATCAAATATATTTATTTCTTTTCTAATTCAAATCAATTATGTTAATATAAGCTATTTTGTTTTTAATGAAATATTGTGAGATCTCGTTATGATACTTAGAATTTTTCTTCGTTCATCAATTGTATATTCTTTAGAATGTTTTATTATCATTATTATTATTATTTATCGAAATACGAGAAATCATATAGCAATTATTTTAATTATTATAAACTATTTCGAATTGATAAATAGTGAAGTCATAAACAAATCTGAGCTATAAAGGTATAAAATAGGTCGAGATTCTATACTTTCGATTCATTTGTTGATTTGATTTGAATCACCCTCTTTCCGAGTGTTATCAGTAACCGACTCATTATTCATTTATTACATTCATAAGTTTATGTAGCTAATTCTTTTCTATTGAAACTTTCAATTGAAACTACGTAATATTTCTTTCGTTTACTTGTAATTATTCGATCTTATAATTGTTGAAATTTTAATTTAATCTTTCAAGTTTCATATTATGTCCATAATTCATCAATTTCTGAAGGATGGTATTTCTTCAGATACAAAATGTAACTTCTTTATATAAGTCTTTTAGATCTTGGATAGTCAGAGCTAAATTGGATAATAAATAATATAAGGCATCAATTGCATTATTTTCTTTATCTTTCTTATATATTTAATTTCATATTACTTTTCGAGTCTCATCTAATGAGTTTTGAGGAGGAATCTTTCATATCTTTTAATTTGAGGGTTTGATGATCTGTTTGAATGATAAATTTCTTTCCAAGAAGTATTTGAATCGTTTAATTATCCAAATGATAACTAATAGTTTCTTTTCTATGTAATGTAATTCAAGTAAAGATTATACGAGGTGATCAATAAGTAATGGTATAACAGGTGATTTTACATCAAAAAATAAATCGAAAATATAGAATAAAATTTTTTCATATAAGGCTTTGTTTTCGAAAATATATAATTTCAAATATTATATAGTTTATGCTGAGTACAGTATGCACTTGACTATGATTTAATATATCTAACTGTACCTTACTTTGTTGATTTAGATTTGTTTTTTGTATTGATTAATCAAAAAACAATTTATTTTCAGAGATTCTTTCCCTTCTACTTCCTTCAAAATTTAATCATTGATTGTATATCACACTCAAAAAAGAAAAAAGCTTACCTTTCGATTGATACGAATTTAAAGAAGAAAGGAAGTAAAGATACACTTACGACACTCTTTTCCAATCTCATCAAATTTTACATTAATAAAAAACGTATACTTTTCGGAAATATAGTCAAAGTTATTCAGAAACCAACAAATGATCACGAAATTTATGACTTTGTTTGAAATTTTCAATGATTATTTGGTAAAAGTTTCCTTGCATGAAAATTTTTTTCTATTATGGCACTCATTCCTTCGAATTAAAAGAAAGAATATAAAATATTGCTACAAGACAATGGCAATCCATTTTTGAAGATAGTATATAGAAAACACTGACAACTATGTAATTTTTAGAATATTTCAAATTGGTTAGTTATATGCTTTTACAATATTAACAACTTATTCATAATATTAATATTTGTTCGCGTGGTCACTTATTTATGAGCAGAGGGCGTTGAAATCAGTGTCGAACTTTTCAATCGATATGATCAAATTTTATTCTTGAAAGTTCAAACTGATTGGTCTATTTCTATATCCAATCTGCTCGTGTCTTTTCTTTTGGAGACTCAATCACCTATCAAATGATTTTAATTCATCTCGAATTCCGAGAGATGACAGTGTTTTTGTTTTTTGTTATGCTAGTCACTTTTATTTTTTGTGCTCGATTCATTATTTTGGTGCTCCATGACTAGCAAGTAATCATTATTGATAATAATTGATAACTCTCATATCAATATCTTCTCATTCAATATTTCTTTTTTCGAAATCACTAGTTTTGTGTTATTAAAATGGAACTTCCATTTTTGAAGAATAAATCTTCGCAGTTCGCATGAGCAGATCGCGTCGCAGTTCCATAGTGGCCCGTCGCAAGGCGTGCAAGTGTAACAAGTGTTCATTGCTGCTATATTTTAAATTGAGCATCTGGAAAGTGTTAGGAAACTCACTCGTAGATTACTGTTGAAGATTATTGAAAATATTCGAGCTGTTGTGAAAATAAAATCCAGATTGCCTTTACAAATCTTAGGTTTGTCCTTAATAATGTTTTTTAAGAATATCAAAATATTATTTAATGAAATAATTATGAGTTATAATATTTCAATCTTTGTTCCTGATATATTTTACGAAGTAAACTGAAAGGCAAATATTGCAATCATAAAATTAATAAATATAATTTGTTTTATTATGTAGTAAAAATAATTTTCTCTATATAGTTAATAATATTGATCTCTGTATTATTGAGCAGAAGTAATACTACACTCATACAAGATATAAAAATTTTATTTTTGTATTTAATAATATAGATACAAATTTTTATTTTATATTTTTTTGAGTGATTTAATTTTGTGTATATATTTAAATTATAGTACGCTATATGGCGTGAGAATATAATATAATAAATATAATAAATATTCTGATCTATTTTTTTTTATTGATTTATATTTCAAAGCATAGGTTATCAAATCATATAAGATGGTAAATTTTGTTATTTTGTCAAATGTTATATTCCAGAATCTGTTCCAATTTCATTTGTAATTTTAATTTAAAATATTATGCATTTTAATCATTTTTTTCGTATTTTTGTAAATAATAATAATTTGTTTCAGTGAAATAAAATTCAAAAATACATAATTAAAAGATAGAATTTCGAAATATATAGATTACGAAATAAATGAATTTAGAAGTAGATAATTATATACGATATTATAATTCTTATTTTTGTTATTGCTTATTATTATTATATTATATTTATAATTTATTTATTATTATTACTTATGTCAACAATAATTTGTTTAAATTACAATCAATATAGGTACAAAGACTGAAACATTAAGTAATCGCATTAGTAATATTTTATTAATTTAAGTTTTCAAATATTTGTTTACAATTAAAATTGGCAATTCATGAATTATTAATTAAATTATTATTCAAATATCTTCATCAGATTGTTGTCTATGAAACACCGCAGTAATTTACTAGATTTCTTACACGAATTGGATTCGGCTGTAATAATAAAAGTACATCAATATAATAAATATTAACATCTTTTTAAACAATAAACAATTCGTTAAAAATATTATTTTTTAATTAAAAAATATATAAAGAATCATATTGTAAATAAATATTTTTTCATTACTTACTGATATCTTTACAATTGTTCACTAATCGATTGACCTGTTCACTATCTAATTTTGTTGTTCTTTCTCTGAATTTTTCTTCGTTGAAGGTTGTGTCTGCGTTAACCTATTATAAAAATGAATATATGGAAATAACCTTTTTTTTTACTTTTCCATGCATAATTATGAATTATGTATACAATTCGGTTTAAATAATTTCATCATTTATACTTACAAATCCGACTTTTTTCAGCATGCAATCAATGTAACAAGCCAGTTTCTCATCATTTTTATCAAAAATACCTTTTTTAACATCGTCTGCTTTCTCTAAAGTTCGTATAAAAAAATTAATCAGAAATTTTATTATCATTAAATTTTGTAAACTTAATTACAATTTATACAACTTACGTAGGTCAATACCATTTTCTTCGGCACAAACTGACTCTATTTTACGTAGCTTAGTTATTGATTCTTCCGAAACTGCCTAAAAAAAAATATTAGAGTAAGTTAAGAAAACAAGATTTAGATATTGATTACTTAAAATATTTAAAAAATAATTATTTCTATATTAAATTGATTTAAATTATTTTAATAATTGTTTTTAAAATATTTTATATATATATTGAAAAATATATTTTATATTAAGTATTTTTGAAATTTCGTTCTCTATAGTTTGAGAAATCTTCATTTACAATCTACATTATACATATATGTATATATTAATCATACAATGCTTGAATATTATCGTTCAATTCAAATTAAAAGTAATGAGCTTCCCCTATCTTCTTTGCAACGATATTGAATTACAAACAAATAATGTCTTGAATATTTCAAAATAATTTTTCATGGAAGTAAATATAAATTATTATATTCCAATCTTCGATCTATTTCGATCTATTTGAAAATTAAATTAATAAATAAAAATAATAAAATTAATATTTATAAATAAAATCTTCAATAAAGGGATTGAAAATAAATTCAATATAAAAATAGTATTATATAATAAATAATTAATTAGGAATAATAGTATAATTAATTCTTTCAGACAATAAATTATTCAGATATAAATTAAAGGAAAAAATCTATTCTATCAATTATTAATAATGGAAAAATATTTCTTCGTAAGAATATGTATCATTGTAAAGAAAGCATAATGTAATTTATTTTAAAATTATGTTTTACTAAAAAAATATAATTATATTTAATGTTTATTGTTTTTTTAAAAAAATTTCACAATATACAAAATCAAACGTGAAAGAATTAACAATATTATATAAATAATAAAAGAAAAGCAATATTATCAAATAAAAATTCAATATAATAAGTTCCTATAAAAAAGAGAATAATTTTGTAAAAATATAAATTATGACAAATGCAAATGAAGATAAAATTAAAATAGAATATAAATCTAAATATTTACAGCAAATATAAGAGAAAATAAAAATAATTTGAAAATTACCAGAATACCAACAAGGCAAAAGGCAAAGATAAAAATAATCGTCTTCATTTTTGGATTTATTAATCTTAAAGACAGTATATTCTTAGAGTATGTTCACCGAGAACTGAATAAGCATTGGATGTACGACATGTTTTTATAGTTGTAAGTATAATCATTATCGGTGATACCCTCATGTCATGATTTTTCCTTCCACTGGTACCAACACTGGTTTTGTATTATTCGAATGGAAGTTCATCACCATTTCCCTTTAGATCGACTATCAGAATGTGCATCAATTACATAATAATATATAAAAAATACAAAATGTTTATTAAAATTGAGATGATCTTTTTTCTTACATTCGAATATAAAGGATATATGATTTAGAATAATTTTCTTCTTTTTTTCTCGTTCTTTTTTAAAAAGTTTTTTCGTAAAACTTAATAACACGCATATGAAGAATATTTATACGTAAAATATTTTTATTTTATTTTTAGAAATGGAAATCCTATTTGTACTTCATTGGATAAGTTCATAAATACATGAAAAATGCATGTTATAAATCTTTCTAAAGAAAATAAAAACAAGAACGAAGAAAAATTGAAAATTAAATTACAGTATCATATTTAATTATATATTAATATGGACAAATATATTTTTGTATTTTTCTCATTTTAAATATTAAAGAAGTTTTAGATTAGTATTTTTGATAGTAATATTTTTAATCTTATCTTCATTTATATCATATATTAGAATGAGTTTTGTACGATTCAAATTAAAATAATGATAATTTCTTCTTTTTTGCAGTGACAAATTTTTGATTATTATTAATTATTTAAAAACACAGCTTCTTTAGAATTTTAAAATAATATTTAATCGAAACAATTATAAATTATTATATTCCAATCCAATAAATTATTATCTTCATTTCTTTTTTCACGAAAATGAAACAGAAGACAGTACGATTATAAAATTGACAAAAAAAGTTAAAAATATTAAAATTAAATTATATTTATATACATAAAATATTTAAAAATATAAAAAAACTAAAAATAAATTCAATAAAAATGGTATTATTGAATAAGTGGTTAATCATAAATAACCTTTTGATATATATATCTAACCCTTTTAATCTTCAATATTTCAGGTGTAAATTTAAATTAGGTGACAGACGTACTTCGTAACTTCTAAAGTTAAGTATTTGATATTATTAACTTATTTTAATTCTCTATATTACATTTACAAATAGAAACAACTGTAATAATATCTATTTAAAACAAGTTTGATCATTTTGCAGATCTGAAAGATTGGAATTAAGATTATTAATCAATAAGTAAATTCATAAATAGATTTTAAATTGGTTTGTATTATACATATTGCTTACTATTATATATAAAAAAAAAATAGTTGAATGGCGATTGCATTGCAAGATTATTATGGATAAATATTATTATGGATAATAAATATTCAATTTATACATTTACTAATCATGATATGTTTGTTACAAGATGAATCATTTAAATCTGTCATTTGAATAATAATTTCTAAAAACTATTTGTTGCATAAGAAATTCTAAAAATCGAGAAAAACATAAAGAATAATCAATTTCAATATTTTTATATTGAAGCCTTTGCTTAGAAGTCCTATTGAAAGACTTCTTCTTTGATAAAAGGAATATAAAGGAATATAAAAATAAAGAGATCGTAGCAGAATTAGAAACGTTATCAAATCAGCGGTATGAATAATAGACTGAATTATTCAACAGAATAAAATAATACACAATGAAAACAATCATCGAACGCTTTATGATTTTATAAAGCAATTCAAGCAAATTCTTGTCGGAATATAAAAATAAAGAGATCGTAACAGAATTAGAAACGTTATCAAACCATTGGTATGAATAATAAATTGAATCATTCTGAATAAGATAATACATAATGAAAATTATCGAACGCTTTATGATTTTATAAAGCAACTCAAGCAAATTCTTGTCCGAAACCCATTTATTATATAACACTATTATATATATATGATAAACAATAAATCGAATATTCCTTATCGATAGGCGGAATTAAATTTGTGACTAGTAAAGTTTAAATAAAACATATGCACCAAATAATACTGGAAATTATTATTTTTCTTATTTTAGAATTTTACTTTATGCAAGTTAATTTATAATAAAATGATAAAGCAAGCTCATGATAATTCTTCAAGGGTCAAGTACTGCAAAACGATAAATGTAATGATATATAATGTGTATAAATATATAAATGTAATGACATATGATGTGTAATATAAACAAATCCTTTCTCTTGGAAACAAATCGAAAATGATTTATTCTTTTATTACACTTCTTTACTATACTCAAATTACATTAATTATATTCATGCAATTATAAATTAATATAACTTCGTCGTAAAAAAAATTTTAAAATATAATAATAATAAAAGTAGATTTTTTATGGAAAATAAAATAATTACAAAAAATAATAAGCATAATTCGTATTTATGAAAAATGAAAAATGATACGAATACTATTTAACGATAGAAATATCGATCATTTAATATTTTAATATTTGGAAATATACAGATTTTTAATTGAAATATAATTTTATTTGTTTCTTCCTAATTTAAGATTATACAATTTCTATATTGTTCATAAGATTACAATATCATCGTGACTGAATAAAAATTAAGGAAATAATGAATAATTAATCCAAATATATTTCAAATAAATAATAAATGCTATAATATGTTGCATTAACAACCTTTAGATTGTGAAATCTGAAGATAAAATTAAAATAAGAATCTATATTTATTTAATTAATTACATTATGATTAATATTATTTTACGATTAATAAACATAAATATTATAAATCAGTATAATGCTTTCTTATTTATAATATCAAGAAATTTAATATTTTAAAACATTATTGATAATATTTTTTATGAGTCATAATTAGATAAATTATTCGATTAAAAAAAAACGAAAATGTATTTCTTGAATGATAAAAAAACAGTGCTGCCGCCAGTATCGAAGCATTCAACTATTCAATGCGTTACAACGACTTATACATGCACTAATACATTAAAAAATTGCATAGTCGTGCGGAATATTAAATTAGTTGTGTGTAGCATGAAAGTACAACTGCCACATTGCCTTATAAAATATGGCAGATAAAGGTAAAGATAAATTATTTCAACTTATAACCATTCTTTTTTATGCTATACATAAATCTTATTATTATTAAGATTTGTATTTTCTATATTTTATAATATAAATGAATATTACAAAAACATGAAAAACTAAATTAATAAATTAATTTTTTAAATAAATAATATATTATTAAAAATTGAAATTTTATTAAAAAATCATATACTTTAACAATTTGTACAAAGCCGGTCGGTACTTGACATAGGTTAGAATAAGGTCATAATCAGGTCATTTGAAAGCGCGCCACTTCGAAAGTACAATATATTTACTATTCAAAAAACTTTATAATTTTATTATTATTCTGTTTTTTTAAGGTTTTTACATTAATAATATTAATCTATACAATTATCAAGATTGATTCATTTTTTAGTACATAACCTTTTAAAATTTGCTATATCTATGTGATGAATCATCATATAGCCAATCTTTAATTTTAAAAATTGAAAAAATTTATGTAACTATCATGAGATAATAAATATTATGCATTACTGGGAAAAAAGTAACATATTTTTACATATTTTCTTAATAATTATATATTTAATTTTATATTTAATAATTTTCATAATTATATTCACTGATATATTTTATATCTTATATATTTTTTTTATTTCGAAACTATATGGTATTAATATTATTTAATTCGTTTTTTTTCTTCATATATATATATATATACTTTTATTATATATTTTTTCGTAATGTTTTGTTTGTATTAATCCTATAAACAATAATGCTTATTTATAATGAATACGTATTTTAAATTTTAAATTTTAAATCGAATTTAATTTCGCAATAATAGATTAAATATTCTGTAAATAATCGTAAAATATGTTATCGCTTTCTTTTTATAATTTTCATTACAAATAAATTAATTATCTTTCAATTTATGCTCCCGCTTAAACATAGTTAATGATTTCTTGTACGAGAGGGCGTGTAATTTACTATACCATGTGTAATTAATATACTTATATAATAGTAATTAATACACTATATAATATATTTATATAGAAAAACATAATATAAATATTCATTCTAGCACAGCAATAAAAATGAGAGTCAACATTTCATTAGAATTAAAATAAGAAGCAGATTTTAAAATTGTTTAGCTTTGAAGAAATAACATAATGATTTATATCAACATAAATTTACGTAATTTATACACGAATCAATTTAAACACGATATGTGTATTGTTTTTTTTTTTTTATTTATTTAAATTTGAATTTAGAGCATCACGTGCACTTTAGCGGAGCAAGTGGCCCCGGGAAAGACAACAAAATTGTGATACAACCGCAACGACATGGACAAATAGATGTTCATCTTGGATTCTTACAACTTCATCATAGGTTGCATTTTTTTTTTTGTACACATTATTAGGAAACTAAATATATGTGAAATTAATAAATATTCTTATAACTTCAACTTATCTAAATTTATAATATTTTTACATAATTTTTTTTAGATATCATATTGAATTCTTGATTCCTTGGGATCTATGCGTTCATAGCGAGAGAAACAGTAATGAACCTGCGATAGTCACGGAATATCATAATCCCTATTGTCATATTATAGAACTAACACATGAAAAGGAAAGCTTAAAGTAAATCATTTGTTATTTTATAAATTTATTTATAGACATATTATTATTAAATTTTGTTTGGATAAAAATTATCATTTTTATTATTGTAATTTAACTTTTTATATTATTTTATATTATAAATTATTGTAATTTACATTATAATAAGATCTTGTTTCTGCAACAGGTTAAAAATAGAGTTTTTAGCATATAAGGAAAAAATCTTAAAAGAAGAAGTTCAAATAATATGCTGTAAAGCTGGAATTCCATTAATAATCCAACTGAACGCACGCGTATTGGGAAAAGACAAAGGGACGCCATTACTAAGGACTGGAATACACAATATCGGTCTATTGAAACAACCAAAAGAAGATGAGGTCTCCGAGTAGATCTCATTAATACTGACTTGTTACTCGAACATCTAAGAGTCGAGTACATATTTCTTTCACAGGTGCTGGGTACAAAATTGAAGGCATCTTTAAGTATGCAAAATCAAGAAGATCTTTGAACAAAACACTGAGATTGAGATACACAGAAAGAAATGCATCTAATAGAGGACGTATAATAACAGGGAAAACTGATGCATGAGAACGTTACTTATTTCGAACTTTAATCGTGCAAAACGTAGGTTAGCATTACAATGAAATTCATCGTTGCGATCAATTATTAATGATCACTGTTTTAATCTTAAGAGAATCACGTGCACGCACGTTTAATTTCAAACATAGCGAATGTTTTATCCATCGAGATCAACTTAATTACACAGTCTATTTCTGCACGATGTAACTTTCGAAATATGCAATGTTCTTAGGAAAAAAAAAAAAGAGCTTCTCTTCGAATTTATTGCAATTGATCTAATTGCACAGGCCTATATCACAATCGCAAGACTTCTTTTTTCTCTTGAATCGAGATTATTATAACAATTTCGACGCAAGAAATAAAGTGTTCCTTTAATCAGCCATTTTTTAAAGGATACACATCGAAATATGTATAATTACAGCTAAATACCGCATTTGCCTACTGTTCCTTCTTAAACGAAAACGTATCACGCAATGCCTATACATTATATATATATATATTTATATATATATTAATATATATATATATATATAAATCTATTACATCTTTTAATATTTATCATCGGTCTATTCGTTATAATGATAAAATTGTATTTTATTATCGTTTTACATCGAGCAAAGATTTTAAACGATAAGAATATATTACTAATCAAAAGCAAGTTTCACAAATAACGATGCTGTTTTCTAATTCCTTGCTAAGCTAATATTAGAATTATTAAAATGAACGAATTCAATGAAAGTGTTTTACTAACAATCATTTCATATTAAACCCTGTTATTTCATTATTATTTATTTTACAGATTGAAGTCGTCGTTTATTCAAGATTAATTTATTGTTCCAGATCAAGATATTCCAAATATTTAGAAAAAAATTCTTATATATATGTCTCAAAATAATTAAAATTTTTGATAATACAGAAAATAATCTACAGTAATCAATTAATTTTGAATAGACTATAACTTCTTCATTCTATATTCATAGTAATATGCATTCTATTAATCATAAATTTCTTTTTAATTATTAAAACTATACAATTTTTTTGATGAGATAAATATATTTCGACATATTCGCTACTATGTATTACATTATTATCATATTATTATTTTAAAAATTCATTATTGTCATTAATTTTATTTTGTGAATAACTAGCATGCATAATATCAATTTCCAACGCAAATACATATATTTATAATTTTCATACAGCACATTTATATTTTTTTATAGCAGCGAACATGTTAAAAAATTATTAAAGAAATATCGTTAGCATCGAAAACTTGACTGTTTCATAGGAATACCAGTAGGACCATCAACGAATTCGCAAATGTTGAAACCAAATCTGGCTAAGGGATGACAATTACTTTTAGGATTGCCCCACTTGCCTCTAAAAGTCATCCAGCTGGGTAAGATAGTGTTCTCTTCTTTCAGAAGCAATTCCATTTTTTTCCATGTAGGCCAAGCGATTCCAAAACCACTTTCGTCATAAAGACGAGGTAATCTGACGAATTTGTGTTTCCCTGGCGCAGTCCAAAGTCCATGCGATCCTCGTGCGCTAAATAATATGGGATGAGAGCCATCGGCAGTGAAAACCTTTTCAGGAAATATAGGTTTTTGAAATATTCCTTTCCGCGTCTCTTGGCTCTCATAAACAAATGTACCGCTTCGTAAATCATATCTATAGAACGCGCCTGCATCATGCGCGGACACGTACATGGTTGATGGATGATTTGTATTCTAAAAGACAAACGATTGATTTTACATAAAGAAGTATAGGATAAAATAACAAAAATGCAACATAAATAAAATAAATATATATATAGGAAATAAGTATATAAGAAAAATCTAGAAGCTCCAATTTGAAAATGTTCAAATGATATTTTTATAAATGAATATAGAATTGAATTATAAAGTAATTATAAAATAATAATGAAAAAAATGTAAAAATAACATATAATAGATAATTAATAATTACCTTTTCTTTTTACTTTTAGGTTTATGTTGTTCAATAGTGTAAAGAAATATTTCAAAATATTTTTTTAGAATGAAAAATATTTTGTTTTTTATATCGAATGAGTATTCAATCTACCTTGAAATAAAGACTCATGTGTTCCCAATCGCCCACGTGGTTACCATATTCTTTAAACATTCCAAGGCATATCCCGCCCACGGTGGGTATCGGCCAGCTACCAAAAAATCCAAGATCCAGAACACAGACCGCCTTTCCCTCACTGAACGGATAGAACATCCAATAGGTCACGTGAAAGTGCAGCTTCTGGGACCTGTTTCCTTTTTTCTTTTTTTTTTCAAAATCACCATGTTTCTGTAAGTATTTAATCAATCGATAAAATAATTTCTGAGAATTCTATACTATTTTCAAAGTATTTTAATAAATCTTAATTATCATTTTAATAATTGTTATTTAATTTAAAGAGAAAAAATTTTCTTTTTTGTATTCTTTTTTTTTTTTTTTAGTTATTATTAAAATCTTCTATTTTTCATTTTAATAATGCTATTTCTGTAAATAATTTTTCTATAAAATTTTTATTCAATGTACCTCTAGATTCTGTTTAACATCGGTCTTCCAAATCTTTTGCGCAAGATCGTTGGTGAAGATCATAGTCGACCCAAAATCGTCGATCTGCAGCACATTTTTCGATGATATCAATGTTTCGTCTCTTTTTCTTGGAAAATTTCTTTCATTCCTGATCTTTATCGCATCTGTAGAAACATCTGGAATAGCACAATTCTTGATCACAGCATAAATCGGTACCGTGCCTGCTGGTTTTCGGCCATATAGAAACGACGATCGATTCCTCAACAATATTTCTGTCAATGTAAAAATCGTTCGCATTAATTTAATTGTTTTTCATGTATTTCGTAAAAAAAAAAATTAGATCAAAGTAGATTATATAATTTTCAAATTTCTTTAAGAATAATTGTATTCATCTATTTCGTTATTTATTTACCTACGTCAATTTTGGTATGAAGATAATCATCGTCGGATTGCATATTGTCAAGAAATTCTGGTACCCCAAGGGGTAAAAAGAGTTCGCCAGGTGCGAGCCATACTAGAGGCGCCCAGTCTCGTACTAATCCTTTTACTGTAATATAATTAAATAAAGATGGTACAACATCATCAATAGAAATAAGAGAAACATTTTATCGAGGTAATTAAATGCAAAAATGTAAGTTAAATTTTAAATTAATATCTATTTCTTTTGCCTCTTATTCTATTCATTCTCCTTAATTCTATTGTCATTAAGATTACAAACTTATTAATATTTATCTTGAAAATCAAATTTATCATTAAATAAACACTATATATTTATAATAATAATAATCTTTCCATGGAAAAATTAAATATCTAAAATTAAATCTGAACATAAAATATTGAAAGTAAAAGATAAATTATCATTGCTATAAAACCATTTAAAATATTGTAATTTAATGGAGATATGCGCGAAGGAATGAGCATAATATTGTACTTGTGCATCGGTGATGATCACTGATCTTAATGACCTTACAGATAATAACATAATATTATTAGAAAGCCAGTTTCTTCGAGCTGCTAGTTTCAGTATGTGCTACATATATTTAGGTAAAAAAAACGAAGGCCTAGAGGGATCTTGCTTTCATTTCATTTTAAGTGAACAAGATTATCTGTTGTATAAATATATGCATCTTCATCCTATATGCAATACATTTGAACCTCCCACATTTGAACTTTCAACAAACAGTTATCATCATTCAAAGTAACGTGCAAACCGCTAAAGAGCACGAAACCTTCTTACAGATACAATGGAATACATAATAAGTTCACGCAATCGTTTAATAAGAAAAATTTAATAAATTTTCCTTCTCAATTTATTTATTTTTCTTTCTTGAATTAAAAATAAAATTTCATAATAATGAATTTTTCAAATTTTCGATTTTTATTAAAAAAATTTTTTTATTAAATAGTTTAAATAGTAAATAACACAAGGAATTTTTCATTTTGTCATTATTAAAAAAATTTTCACATTTGCTATTCAAGAGTCGATTTTCAAGTGTCCTCATATTAAAATATTAATATGTAGAATCAACATATGGCGATACCATATTTGGTATTACGACACGTTTTCCATTCTACTTCCGCAATTAAAGAAGGCGCCGTGAAACAAGTTCCTATTTATTTCTATTTTAAAGCGTCATTATTATCGAGATAATTAACTCGTTATTTAAATCAATTCAAGATAATTAATTTAGTACTTTATTTCGAAGAACAATCGGTTTTAATATTAAATTTTTTCACCGTGACAATCATTAAAATTACGAAATTTTTCGATAATTTATTATGATATACGAGATAATAATAAATATTAATTTAATCATTAATAATATCTTTTTTTAAGAATATTTAGTATAATAGAACGAATGAATATAGTATATTTAATAATATAAAAAAAAATAAAATTATTTAAGATAAGATCTTCCAATCGTGTATGATGTATATCCATCATAATTATAATATTACTATAAATTAAATTCTTAATATATATTTTCATGTTGTGTAGTGTATTTTCTGTGGAAACCGATTTTTCTAAAAAGAGCAATTCGAAGGCGTTAGTTGATCAAGAATTTAGTTAATTATCATCTAGATAATATAATACAGGCGAAAATGGAATTCGACAATCATAAAACTTAGAAAAAATGCTCGAAAATCGACTTTCAATCTCGTAATCATTCATAATTGTAAATCTATTTTTTTTTTTTTTTTTTGTAAAAGAGATCGATCTATCTCAAAAAAGGATCGACCATTATACCATGTGTTAATACGTTCACGCTAATTATGTTAATTCGAATGATTATCGGGTAAAATTTCACCGTTAATCCAACAATCCTTATATAAAACTGGTTATTATTAAGAGATTTTATCTTAATTTTTAACATGTTTTAACGCAACTTTATTATTAATAAGCTTCTAGTTTCATTTATATATATTAAAATTCGATTTTATATTATTAAAATGATTCATAAATTGATTGAAAAGGAAATATTTTATTTTTATAAATATTTTATTACAATTATATTTATATTTTAATATTGAAATTGCTATAATATATATTATGATTGTTATACATGTGATTGAATGCATAATGAAATAAGAAAAATATTTTACATGATAATAATCGTAATTTAATTGATGATAATTATATTTTCAAAATGAAAATTTTTTCTAACTTTTCGTTTCTTGAATTATAATAAATAAAAAGATCGAGTCTATCATATAAGGCAATTTAAATATTTTTAATAATACAAAAACAAATCGAAAAAAAATTTAATAATTTCAACATAAAACATAAAAATTTAATTTCTTTTCCTTTTTTTATAAAAATTAAATAATATATGATATATATAATATATTTATATTTTTTAATATAGTAAATTAAAAGAAATGTACAATTTATTATTAGAATAATATATAAAATATAATTACATCAATCATTTTCATAATTTTTTTTTTAAATAATAAATACAGAAAAAAATCATCAAAAGTAATAATTGTTTGATTTTCGAATTCTTACCTCGTCCTTCATCGGTGGTTTTCGAAATCACTATCATGTGCATGATACACAGAATCAACAGCAAATATTGCATCGTATTTGGTTTGTTCACGCATTTTGATAATCGAGTGCCGGAAAAGCCGTTAAATTCGAAACTTTTTAAGTGATGGACATCATCAATGCACTTTTTCCCGCCACCTTTACTTCTCCGTGTCTTGTTGCTGTGGACCACCGTCACAGAGAATTCTTAAGGTTAACAATCGACAACACCGATCGTCCTGCTACCAGCTATGTTTCTCAGGTAACTGACCGGTTCCCTACATTCCCTGGGCCGCTCACTGGACAAATATTACCGTTGCTCACTACCATCGTGCACGCTATTACGAGGATGCCAAAAGAAACTGTAAACGTAATAAGTTAACCCTTCTATCGAATTGAAAGTTTAAATTATAACCACACGTTTTTCATTTTAAACGCATTACATATCTTGTGCATATATATATATACATACATATATATATATATATATATATATATATATATATATAATAATAAAATATAT